TAAATACTATAAAAAAATAATCCTTATTTTCAAATATTATTATATGAAATTTTATTTAAATATTTTAAATATTAAAAAAAAATAAATTATAACTAAATTTATGCTATTTTTAAGCTAAAATTATTATACAAACTCTATAGCTTAAGAGATTAGATAAGGCTTGGAATAGGCTGAGTTGGGCTGAGTTTTTCTAAATTTAAGCTCATGTCTAAAAAAAAATTTATAAACCCAAGCCCAAGCCCAGCCTAGCAAAAAGTTACAGTTTGGGCCAGGCCAGGTTATTTCAAACTATGTCTGGCCCAACCTAGCCTGGTTTGGCCTTGTGATTATATATATATAAGTGAATATCACTAGCACCTCTGTTGTATTTTTTTATATTTATTTTCATAATTCCTAAAACACCTAATAAAATTGGCTGAATAATTTTTTAGCTGATTCAAATAAGTTTGCAATTTCAGCATAATAATAATGACTGTTTTACAAACTATTGATATAAATTTTATTAAATCTATATATTATACCGAAATCACAAACTTAATTGAATTGGCTAAAAAATTATTTGGCCAATTTTTATTAGGTGTTTCAGAAATTATAAAAATAGCTGTAATAATCATATATAGATTTTTTCATATAATTATTATTTCTCTATCTATAAATTGTTGTGTTTGGATTATATATCTAATACTATATTTTATTCTGCTATCTTCATTACAATGTATATGTTTTTTGTAATATATTAAACAAATTAGATTTTGTATTAATTATTTTTATTTTATACTGTAACCCAGAAAATTTGAATCTCCAAAAATTTTAATTTTAGGCTAGTCCATTATATATGTGCTACAGAAGCCTATTTTTGGTTAACAATGATCTTTAATTTATTTGGGGTAGGATTTTTAAGAGTGATTTGTCTTAAAAATATTATAAGTCTTAATGATCTTAAAAGTTAGATATAAACTTAAAAATATTAGAAGTTTTTTTTTATTAAATGTATTTTAAGAGTTTATATTTTAAGACTTAAAGATTTTAAATAAAACATAATATAAAAGAGAGTATATAAATAACCATTTTTTGCTATTCAATAAAGATATCATTTTTATAATTTAAACAAGCATTCCTTAGCTTGTCTTTGCCTCTATAAATACATATTTTGTAATACTATCTTTACCTTGATCCTTACTAAATTAAATTCTTGTCTAATTGTTAAATTTGCTATAAACTATATCCATCATATTGCCCAAAGATTACTCTTCCATATAAATCTAAATTTAGACTAGATTGTTTTCATTGTTTATCTATTAAATCTTAGTTTTATTGTTATTTGAGTTTAGTGCTATTTCTCACTTTAGTTTAGGTTAATTGTATTAAGTACCATACCCAGAAGTATTGTAGATATATTTTCTTGTGGGTTGGTTCTAGTGGTTAGAGTATTGTTAAACTAGAGTTCATTATGTGATATTTTGTTGTCTAAGGATTGCCAAAGCCTTAGAACCATTCTACTTTGCCAAACTAAACATCTCTTTTAATAGGCTTTCTTGTTAGCCTTGGTGGTTATTGTTTGTATGATTTGAAGTTGGGTTTTAGATTTCCAGCAGACCAAATATTCTGTGTAACAATATATACTTATATTAAATATAAATTATTTTATGTTAATTAATTAGTTAAAAATAAATAGCAAGGGTTCATAAAACCAAATAGCTTATTTTAAATACTCATATTAATAAATATTCTATCTACTAGCTATATTATCATAAATAAAATAAAATTTAACAGTAAATATAATAAATATTTATAAAATTTAATGAATTATTTTACTTAATAATAATTAAAAAGTAAATATTTATAAAGTTAATAGCATATTTTAAATACTTAAATAAATATTTAAGAAGTTAAATATCGATTCTAAATACTCAGTTTAATAAATATTATTTATACTCTATTTATGTGATAATGATAAATTAATGCAAATAAAAACAATCTAAAATTAAACTAATCCACTCCTATCTTTACCAGCATGCCATAGATATTATAAGGGCCCATAGGCCTGCAGAACTATTTCCAAACCCTGACCCAAGCCCAGTATTTAATAAACCTGGTCTAAGCCTGACCCACTTTATAAATGAATCAAAATATTGAACCTGGTATTGACTCAAACCTGGCCCAACCCACAAACCTACAGGTTTAGCCTAGTCTATTCCGAACCTTAGTATTATATTATATTTTATAGTATTAATAGGGTTTTACAAAGTTGATTATGTAATGAATATTGAATTAAACTAATAGATTTTTTATTAATATTTTATAAATACTATTAGAAATTATGAATTGGCTATTTAAAAATATAATTTTGTAGTAAGATAATGGTTATAATAGTTACAAAATATTAGTATAGAAATAATTAGACAAAGATTTTTAATTGGTAACATCATTTTCACACAAATTTTTTAAATATTCATAGATAATGTTGACCATTAGCTTGAAAACATCTTGGATAAATTTCAAGTGAAAAAGATCTTTAATGTAAAATCTAAGTAGCCTAGTAAAAAATCAAGACAAGAACCTATATTGTAAAATTTGTCCCAATGCCAAAACAAGTTTGCAAGGCTATCAAGGTGAATACACCATGTTGTGGTGGCCATAAAATATTAAAGTAGAAAAAAATTTTTTAATTTATATATAAAAAAAAAATTTTCTTTTATGTTTGTGTTGTGTTTAAAACAAGCAAAAATAATGCATCACATTGTTTTGAATAAAGCTCGTGCTTAAGAAAAATTTGCCTCATTAATACTTTCTAAACTTTATATGTGAATACTGTATTTGTTTATAAGTAAAATAAAAAAAATAAAAGATACACTCAAAATTATATAAGATAATGTGATCCAAACAAAAATTTTTTTTTGCTATATTATTTATAATTGCCAGTATAAAAAGAAAATCTAAAATTTGCAAATTTTTTTGAAATTTTAAATGATGATTTTCAGTACCCATATATTCAAATTCAATGTATATTTTTTTATTTGATTCTGCAAAAAAAAAATTTGGCTGCAGCTTTTTTTCTACAGACATCTAAAATTTAAATAAAGATAACTTGGCAGTTATCTAATCAAATTTGATCAAAACTTTTTTATTTTTAATTATATGAAATTATAGAATTAAAATAAAAAAATTTTAATTGAATATAATAAGGTAAGTGTTGAGTAATCTTTATTCAAATTTTAGATATCTATAAAAAAAAAGCTGCATCATGTTTTTAATTGATATTTCTCAACACTTGTCTATTCAATTTCAGTAATTTTTTTTATTTTAATCTTACATATTTGTAGAATCAAAAAAAAATAATTCATTGAATTTAAATATATAGATGTTGAGAAAACTTTATTTAAAGTTTTGTAAAAAAATTTATGAAAAAAAATGCTGCAATAAAATTATTTATTTAAACTTTAATAGATAATTGCTCAACAACCATATATCTAATTTCAATAAAATTTTTGTTTTGATTCTGCAATTTTGCAAGATTAAAATAAAAAAAATTAACTGAAATTGAATAAACAGATATTGAGAAATATTGATTAAAAGTTAAAAAAAGTTTGGCCACAGCTTTTTCTTTGTGGATATCTAAAATTTAAATAAAGATTACTTAGCACTTATCTAATTATATTCAATCAAATTTTTTTATTTTAATTATATAATCTTATAGAATTAAGATAAAAAAAGTTGATCAAATTTAATTAGATAAGTGCCGAGTTATTTCACTCAAAGTTTAGATATTTGTAATAAAAAAGCTGTGGCCAAACTTTCTTTTAGCTTTTAATTGATATTTCTTAACATCCTTCTATTATGATTCAGTAAATTTTTTATTTTAATCCTTCATACTTGCAGAATCAAAATAAAAAATTTTTATTGAATTTAGATAGATAGGTGTTGAAAAATCATTGTTTAAAATTTCAAAAAGAAAAAATTTAATGATTTTGGATTTTTTTTTCTAGGATATTTTAAGCTTTTCAAAACTACTAGTGAAGGTTTCTCAACAACCACTAAACCAAATTCAATGAAATTTTTTTTATTTTAATTTTACAAATATATAAAATCAAAATAAAATATTTTACTAAATTTGATTGAATAGTTACTAAGAAATCATTGCTAGAAGTTTAAAGAAATTTAATGGTTTGGCTCTAGAATTAGAATTTTCTTAACCTGCATTATTAGTAAATTTATTCGTTACACTAATGTCTGAGATTATAATTTTTTTTTTGGTCACTATTCACATAAATGTATAGACTGTTTATGGTTTTTTTGAGGTAATTTAAGTGAATTACAAAACTATTCTAAAGTAGCTGAAAAATTTTATCAATTATAAGTTTTCGTTTACAATTCGCATTAGGCAAATGACTACATTTGTATACATCTTTATAATGCTCAAATTCTGGATCCAAAAGTTCAGTTTTATTGATATCGATTTTAATAGCTTTATAACTAGTCTTTTTAATAGAACTATCTATACCAAATTTGAAACTTTTTTTATTTTTTAACTGTAACAAATCAAATTCTGCACTTTTTTAATATATAAAAAATGTGTATTATTTGCACATATTTCATTAGCTGTAAAATATTTAATTTAGACCCTTCATTTTGTAAAATTAGGGCCTTGTTTTTTAGCATAAAATAACAGTTGGTTCCTATGTAAAAATTATTATATTCTTCAAGTTTAGCTCAGATAAAATTAAGAGTTCCTTTCTAGACAAATATATATAATACTCTGTTCTTTATTTTCTAAATCTGATTTAATTATTGTGATACTAATTTTAGCATTCATTGCTAAGGAAGAAGCAGAAAATAATTATCCACTGCAAATTTATTAGGTGCTTCACTTGGGTGATTTTCTTTCTCAACTAATTTTAAAATATTATTAGTCAAAAATTTTATAAATATAAATAAAAATAATAAAACTAATAAATATTTAATATACAGGTTCATTACTCCATATTATTACTTGATTGCAGCCATATTCTTTAGCTTTTTTTAAGACATTGTCAGCATGAAGCAGTAAGTTATTACAAGTTTTTACTGAAGAATTCATTTCAGAAACTCCAATACTAAGTGAAACTGATAATTTGATTTGGTTATAAATAAATGAATGAGTTTTAACAGAATTTTAAATTTTTTAGCTATTTCAAAAGCCATAATTTTATTAGTATCTTTAAGAAAAATAGTAAACTAAACTTATTTACCAAATCTGTAAATTTCTCAAAGTGAATTGTAAATAACTCTTCTTTATTTTGTAGATCATTAACCTTTTCCAAAAATTGGCAACAGCTTATAATACACACTTTTTCTATTTTAGGAACATATAAATAGCTCATTAAGTATATTATATAAGAATATAAATCTAAAAAAAAAAAAAAAGGATTAAGCAAAGAATTCTAAATAACTATTGTAACAAAGCAGCAGATGATACAATAGACAATAGAATCTTACTGTATAAAAATAAGGATGAAAAATAGCAGATTCTACCATATATAAAAATAGCAGATCACTGTGGCTCCCTATTTTCTCACTGGTATACTCTCTGAAAACAGCAGATCTTTCTCTAAAGTCAAAACAGTGGATGACTTTAGAGGAAATACACCAACTTCTGCTAAATACTGTAAAATAATGATACAGAAAGCTTTAATATCAAACACTTTTTTTTGCCAACTTCCAAATTTATGAAGGATGTATATAGAAATTTTGTTAAGGGAATTGATCCAGTCTCAATGTGTTTTTTGCTTTTTATCTGAGAACCATTTATATAGTTGGATTTTACTATATAAATTAATTGCATATACAGTTTAGTAAATAGAGAATATATAAATAAATTACTAGTAGAAAATATATCTACATACCAATTCTGTAAATTTCTTTGTAAATAACTCTTCTTTATTTTGTAGATCATTAATATTTTTCTAAAAAATTGGTGACAGCTTGTGATATATACTCTTCCTATATTAAAAACATATAAATAGCTTGTTAAATATGTATAATGTTAAATAAGAACATAAATCTAAAAACAAAAAAAAAGGATTAAGCAAAGAATTCTAAATGACTATAGTAACAAAGCAGTGGATGATACAATAAACAATAGAATCTTATAAAAATAGAGACGAAAAACAGCGGATTCTACCACATATGAAAACAGCAGATTACTGTGGCTCCCTATTTTCTCGCTAATATACTCTCTGAAAATAGCAGATCTTTCTCTGAAATCAAAACAGCAGATAATTTCAGAAAGAATATACAAACTTTTGCTAAATCCTGTAAAATAATAATACAGCACACTTCAATTATTAACACTTTTTTTTGCCAACTTCTGAATTTGTGAAGAATGTTTATTAAAATTTTGTTAAAGGAATCAATCTAGTCCCAATGTGTTTTTTGCTTTTTATCTGAGAACCGTTCATATAGTTAGATTTCACTATATAAATTAATTATTACTTAATAATTTGTATACATCTTAGAAATAGAAAATATATAGCAATAAATTACTAGTAGAAAATATATCTATATAAATTCCTCAAAGTGAATTGTAAATAACTCTTCAAGTTGTAGTCTTTTTTAATTTCTAACTTGTTTTTTAATTCAGTTATCTAGTTATTGCTTTTTTCTATTAATTCAGCCTGTTTTTCTTTCAACTTCATGATATTATAAGATTTTCATTTTTTAATATTGTGCAGTTTGAAAGTTTAAAAGTCAACTGGAAATTAAAAATCATCTCGATTGGCAACCAAAAAAATATTCAAGGAAATTTGGCTAGTTTTTTGTACCTAATAGGAGAGAAATTAAAATATTTTTATTGTCAGAGTACCAATTACCAAGACATATTAGAACCGCAAGAGACCAGTAAAATTATTTTTTTTCCGGAGTAGTAGTAGTTTTGGCCCCAAAAAATAATTTTTTCAACCTTTTTAATTTAGTGAAAATATCTAAATTAGTGGAGATTTGGTTTTGGCCAATGTCAACTATTTCCAACTTAGTATTTTCTTGCAAATCTAGATTAGCAAGTTAGTTATGACTATAGTTAAATATAGGCAATTACTTAAATCGAGATTAGTAAGTTCTTCAAGTATATAAAAAAAAACAACTTTTCACAAGAAAAATGTAGATTCCGAAATGTTGCTTTCTAAGTCTTGCTTGGTTATAACATGAGGAACTTTTTTTCTTTATTTCATAGATCTTTAATATTTTTAAAAAAAGTCTAAAAAAAAAAAAAAGGATTAAGCAAAGGATTCTTAAATAATTATAGCAACAAAATAGTAGATGATGCAATAGGCAATAGAATCCTATAAAAATAGAGACAAAAAACAGTAGATTCTACCATATATAAAAATAGTGGATCTCTATTTTCACACTGGTATACTCTTTGAAAACAGTGGATCTTTTCCTGAAGTTAAAACAGCAGATGACTTCAGAGAAAATATACCAACTTTTGCTAAATTCTACAAAATACTAATACAGTATACTTTAATTATTAACACTTTTTTTTGCCAACTTTCAAATTTATGAAGAATGTTTATTGAAATTTTGTTAAGAGAATTGATTCAGTCCAATATGTTTTTTGTTTTTCGCTGTTGGTAAAGATGATATATTTTTTTAAGTTATATAAGTATTCAAGTAGACAGTTGGATATACTGAGCTTTTTCAAAACCTTTATAACAGACACTTCTTTGGAATTTAGCTCTAATGACTTGATATATCAAAGTTAAAAAAAAGATTAATGAATAATCAGCATAGATCAACCACATTTATATATCAATATTGATGTCAAATTTTCAATATTGACATTATTATATTATCCATAATAATTCAGTAATTTATATAAAATCAGTATAGAAATAGAGATCTTGAAGATAATACCCCTATAACAATACTGGTTTAACATAGATTATGGATGCTAGATCATTAAAAACAAGCATAGCAAACATTTAATATAATTAGCTAATTTTACAAATTATTTCATAGAGGCCACAGACATGCCACAATGGCATGCCAGTATTGGTATACTGTAGATATATCTAATACTCAAATAGTTAATAAGGCATGCTATTTATAATCCTGTAAGAAATTTTATCTGAATATTTCCTTTATTTTCTAGAATTTGCAACATGATTGATAAAATTTAGGCAAACCAAATAATCTCTATAATTTAAGTTTATAAATTCTATAAATATTCAATTTTATAGAAAAAACATGGAATACAAAATACAAATTGACTTTTTTTATAGAGTAAGGGGGATGGGGATATTAAACTACCCCAGTAGCACCAATAGATTTTCACTGATTAGCATAAATTGACCAATTAGATTTAAGATCAGATATAACGTGAAAATCATGCATTTTTTTAAAAATTTTAATAAATAGCAAATAACTCAAAATTTTATATAAGAAACTACTTAATTTGCAATAGTAAAAAAATTTTTTGAATATAAAAACTTTTCCTAACTATCACTTGTACACAAAAATTCTTATTATTTTACTATACAAATATAGTTTTGTCTCTTAAATAAACTTGTTTCTTTTCTTCTACTATATATAATATCTAAATATTATTGCTAAAGCTTGTAAAGTTGTCAAGCTAAGGCCTTTTGGTCTACTTTTGTATTTTATTCAAAATATCTACCAAACGGCCTTTTTAATATACTGTTTAAGCTTAGAAAAAGTTAAAGAGCTCACAGTTCCTGTTATAACAAGCTACAGTACAAGTTTGTAGCTTTAAAATTGACAGAGCTATGCTCAAATTACTGCTTTAACTCTTTATAATTCTCTTTTTTATTTTTTTTTTTTCTAAAAAATTTTTGGCAAAAACCACTTAGATGTTTTTGTGTAACCTCAACTTTGTGCTACCCACATTTTCAAATACTCTAACATTAGTGGTTCTTCCTATTTACACTAATTTTTAAGTTTTATTACACAAATTAACTATTTATATCTTTGTATTCTTTCTATTTTTAATTTAGCAACATTATTCAAGTTTTACAGGGTATACTCGGGTTATAAGTAACATTTGTATAATACGTGACCTGCACATGACCTGCATGTGATCTGTGTAACCTACTTTGACTTTGTAATTTACGTTACATGAAACAAATTTTATACCATTTCGAAGCTCTCTCCATTCTTTACAATAATTCGGCATTACTATTGTTTTACGATGCCTAATTTATCTCTATTTAAATATTTAAATTAAAAACAGCTTAAATGCCTACTCTTAATACCAAACAACCTGATACTATCAATCTTGACACCTTTTTATCCCAGTACTCTAATCGTTTTAATATTTGGATCTATGAAAATAAACCTAATAGTACTAAACCTACAAATAAAGGTATCACTTCTACTAAATGCTTAACTCAACTACATAGTACAGGTAAAGCTACCCACTTCTTCCAAGCTCCTTATCTGCTACTATCGTAACTTGCTTCTGCAAAAAATATCATATCAAATTTATTTCTACTGTTTAACCTTTCTTCTCTAAACCATTTAATACTTCTATTAATCAATTCCAAAGCCAACATTCACCTCGTAACCTAACTCAATACCAATACCTATGTACTATTTGTCAACAGCCTATCCTATGTATCTTTACACCAGATCTTGAACTCTATTCACTTAATAAAAACACTATATTTAAAAATAACCAACCATTTTACAAAGCATATTTGCGCTTCGAATTGCTTGTCACTTTACCTACTCCAACCACTCCTACTTCCACTGTTCATTCTAAACTACTTACCTTTTTCAATACCCCAGTATCCTAATACTAACCACCTACTCAAATCATCTCTATCACTTTCCAACCCTCTACAACTCATACTAATCAACTCCTACAAGCTCCAATTGCCCAAACTTCAATTACTCAACCAAACTAATTAAATTCTTTCAAACTTTCTACCCCACTTTCGATCTCTTTCACTTCCCTATCAATCTGATCCATCCCCTAAACCTGGTTTTCTAAGTTATTTCACTTCTGTCTTATCCTTCTCTGTATCTGAATACATCTATAGTTCTCCTACTCAAAACCTTTTACATTCCTTAACACCTGCTAATAACGTTCCCAAACTTGATTCTGCTACTTATGATACTTCTACTAACTTTTCTACTCTAACTACTAACCAAACTTCTTCTCTTTCAAATAATCCAGACTTTTTTAATAATAAAGCTTCTAGCTTCATTACAAAAATGATAGATGTCGACACTCCTATTAGTCAATCTATATTCAACCTTCCTCCTACTCAATTAATTACTGCTACTCAGCTTCCTATTCAATCTGTGGTCTTATTCTTATCTTTACCTTTTCATTCTCAAGCCCATCAACTTCTGAATCCATATCTGTCCTCTTCTACCTCTCAACCAACTTACACTTCAATTACTAAAAGTTCTATATCTAAAAACAAACAACCTCAAAGTCAAACCTACTTTTCTGTACTATAACAAAAATCCAACTCCCTACTCTCTAACCAACCTACTTCTCATTCTAAACAAAACCCTTCTTTTGACTAGATTTATAATTTTCCTATAACTGATACTATGAAATCTAATACCAAACTTCAAACCAATTTCTCTCTAAAACTTTTTACATTTCTCAAAACTCATCTTTATAATTTTTACCCTAGTAGTACTCTTAAAGAAGCAACATTCAACAACAGGCAACCTCTCAAAGCTAGCTTTTATCACATCATTTGTGTGATGGCCAGTACATGTTCTGACTTCTTTATTGATTATATCTATAAAATTAATCTTTCTATTGATCAAGATGCTCCTATTCTTTTTTATATTCTTGAAGCTACCTTTAAAAAAATCCTTTTCAAATTTACTACAATCTTTTTCACCAAACTTAACTATACCAAAATCTTTATATCTCCTGTTACTGTCCCCCTATACAATACTGCAAATTAACTATATCTCTCTAACAACTATCAAGCTATTAATTACAACAAATTTGCTAAAGATTTCAAGTTTTACCCTAAAAACTTTAAATTTACCTCTTCTGTTATCTCCTATGATAAGAATGACAAATATCTAACTATTAAATCAGACAACAGATTTAATATACAATTACTTTTTAATATTCCTAAAACTCTCTTTCTTGAACAATTTTCTATCTCATTCCTTAAAAATTCTTTCGATCACTTTAATACCTGGTTTAAAAATATCTTTCCTTTATTTAGTAAACAATTCCTCTCTATTCCCAACAAAGAAGATACTAAACTTTTTCTTCAATCACAAATTAGAAAACAGTTCATAACCCAACTTAAACTCTTACTTCCTTTAGATATCTCCTTCTTCAAACCTTATAATTTTTAAAATGGATATAATGAATATTTTCATCATCTTAATTTTCACTTACTCACATGTAAACACATCAACTGTTCTTATATTTCTGACTATAAACATGATATATCAAAACTTTTTAAAGCAATCTTAGAAGATTCCTTTAATATTTTTTTCAAAGAAGATATCGACTTACAAGATTTAAATATTGATGCATCAATATTTTTCATCAATCATAAGTACCAAGCCATATTTAAGCTACCAATTCCTACCTCAACTCTTTACAAATTAGCTGACCAAGCTGAAAAAACCTTCTGTTATAACAACTCCACTCCTACATCTACTAGTCATTGTAATATCTTTTTCTATAAATACTTCATTGCTTATTAAAATATTGCTACTCAAAACCACAATATTGACAAACTTTCTAAAGATCAAGCTATTAATTTGGTTACCCAAAATCTCATTGAAACTGATTTTCTTGCTTAAATTATAACCTACTTTGACATTATTAAAGATCAACAACTCTCACTCTCTCAAACTTCCAATTAC